TATTTCAAAATAAATTTGATCAATTTTGTCATACGTATATTGAATTTATTTCATGCACCCATTTTATGAAAAATGATGTGCCCATTCCTGGCGGTAGAGTGCCTTTAATGGCTTGAACCGCAAGTCTTACTGAACCCAGTTCGTGACAGGACACTGACATTTTCAGAACAAATAGAAGAGTTATAATGATTTACTTAAGAGAAAATGTGTGGAAGAGAAGAGAGATATAATGATGTGTGGAAGAGAAGAGATCTAATGATTTGCTGAAGAGAAAATATGTAAAAGAGAGAAGATATATATAATGATAAGAGGAAGAGAAGAGAGATTTAATGATGTGCTGAAGGGAAGATACTGTGTGGAAGAGAAGAGCTGTCTAACGATGTGATGAAGAGAAGAGAAATATAACGATAGCCTGAAGATGTAACGGAATGGTGAGAAAAGTCTTAAGTGTTTTCTTCCCCCCCCCCCTCCCAAGCATCGTTCATTAAATCAACTGAACGCTATCAAAACATACACTCGAAGGTTTCACCCACACCCCTCCCCCACCATCCCCACCCCCAACCCCCCACCCACCCCCCCCCCCCAACTCCCCCACCCACACAACCCAACCACACCCACACCCACATCCCCACCCCCACCGAAACTCACATTCCCCTACCCACACCCACATTCCCACCCACATCCCCATCCACATCCCCACCCCATCCCCACCCACATCCCCACCCACATCCCCAGATTTAAAAAAGGACGCAGGTTTCATGGCGGAAATCACCAGGTACACAGTTTTTTTACCATGTACACAACACCGTGGACATTGGCATGTACACAACATCACGGAAGCTGTCGTGAACGCAACATCATCGACATAACACATCGTACAAAATGTGTACACTATGCAACGCATCATGCCAGTGACGTCAACCCCTGCATCACTGACACATTAGCAGTGACACCAACATGTGCACCATGTACTATTCCACAACACCCTTATCCGTACATCAACCTAAACCCATTCCAAGAGTTCACAATCACTTCCCCCGCCCCCAGCTATGTTTCTATTATTGAGCCCATAAGCCGGCCGGCCGCCTCAATGCCGGTACGAAGAATTGAATCCTATGAAGAGACAAAAAAAATGTCATACACTTAACCTCATCGCAAGCACAAAGTAAACAATCCCCGCTCCTCACACCCCCCCCCCTTTTCCCCATCAACACCCCCACGGTATCGACGAGAGCACGTGGAGGCTCCTCTGAGAGCTTGGCCCGCTCGAGGGTACATGACTCTTGGCACACAGATCAGAGATTTGGAACCGCGCGACTGCAGTACAGGCCCCTGTCGTTCGTACCTTACCGCTTGTTGGCAATGATCAGCAGAAGCAGAAGTTGATGGTAGATGACTTCATGGACGCTCTCAGATGGACGCAATAATCGGGAAGGGTGGGGGGGGGGGAGGAAAGGGGGTATCATTTGTGTCCGATTCTGTGGTGTTGTTTTCGTTTGGTGGAGGGTGTGGGTTGGGGGGGGGGGGGGGAGTCATTGCAGTGTAATTCATGTCACATTGATGTATAGGAGCTCATTAAAGTTATTTCTTTCCAAATCAAGTAGCCGAATTATTTCAAAATCAAATTAAAATTCGGTTATAATATCTCAATCATAATATATATATATATATATATATATATATATATATATATATATNTGCCCATTCCTGGCGGTAGAGTGCCTTTAATGGCTTGAACCGCAAGTCTTACTGAACCCAGTTCGTGACAGGACACTGACATTTTCAGAACAAATAGAAGAGTTATAATGATTTACTTAAGAGAAAATGTGTGGAAGAGAAGAGAGATATAATGATGTGTGGAAGAGAAGAGATCTAATGATTTGCTGAAGAGAAAATATGTAAAAGAGAGAAGATATATATAATGATAAGAGGAAGAGAAGAGAGATTTAATGATGTGCTGAAGGGAAGATACTGTGTGGAAGAGAAGAGCTGTCTAACGATGTGATGAAGAGAAGAGAAATATAACGATAGCCTGAATATGTAACGGAATGGTGAGAAAAGTCTTAAGTGTTTTCTTCCCCCCCCCCCCTCCCAAGCATCGTTCATTAAATCAACTGAACGCTATCAAAACATACACTCGAAGGTTTCCACTTCATAAATGCATAGAGTATATGGGACCATAGTAGACAGGGAGTGAGGGACAGTTCATAGATGTGACTTTAGTACTTGGGGATAGCACAAAGTTGCATTTATAGGAAGTGGGGAGTGCACTAAGGTGTGTTTATAGGAAGTGGGGAGTGCACTAAGGTGTGTTTATAGGAAGTGGGGAGTGCACTAAGGTGTGTTTATAGGAAGTGGGGAGTGCACTAAGGTGTGTTTATAGGAAGTGGGGAGTGCACAAAGGTGTGTTTATAGGAAGTGGGGAGTGCACAAAGGTGTGTTTATAGGAAGTGGGGAGTGCACAAAGGTGTGTTTATAGGAAGTGGGGAGAGCACAAAGGTGTGTTTATTTTAAGTGGGGAGAGCACAAAGATGTATAGTAAGTGGGGAGAGCATAAAGATGTGTTTATAGTAAGTGGGGAGAGCACAAAGATGTGTTTATAGTTAGTTGGGGAGAGCTCAAAGGTGTGTTTATAGTAAGTGGGGAGAGCACAAAGATGTATATTAAGTGGAGAGAGCATAAAGATGTGTTTATAGTAAGTGGGGAGAGCACAAAGATGTGTTTATAGTTAGTTGGGGACAGCACAAAGGTGTGTTTATATTAAGTGGTAGGAGCGGAAATTTGATCGAACAGAAGTTTGGTCGAACGAAAATTCGATCGAATTTTATTCTCAGCTCACATGATCTTATTTTGCGTTAAATTTCTTTTTGAACGAATTATTTTGTTTTACTATAGAGTATAGTGCGTTAAAAAAAGAAATTTGAAGAACATTAGACAGTGTGATCTGAAATAAAAATTCGATCAAATTTCTTTCGATCAAACTTCCGTCGATCGATTTTCCCTCGACGAAATTACTTTCAAACAAATATTCGGATACGGAGACCGGTGCCAGGTATATTAATCCCATTTTTGTATTTACTTGACCATACATGTTCATGTTGTGCAGACCGGCAACGTAAGCCATGCGGACCGATGCCAGTCCGCAGACCGCCATTTGGGCAACGCTGAACTAGAGGATAGTCATTAAAGGGCAGAATTTGAAAGATTGTTCACTTTTGACGACGTGGAAATGACTTAAAATAACAAGCCCACTGCTGACCTATGTGATAGTTGGAATAATATAGACTATTGGAATAATACAGGCCCATGTGACAGATGGAATAATATAGGCATATGTGAGAGCTGGTATAATGAAAACCTACAATAAAATAAAAATAGAGTATATTTTGGTACTCCTCCGTGTGCAGGTGTGTGAGTAGCAGCTATTTAAATAAATTTGGAAGAAGCCATTACGATTGTGTGCATTTCATTATGAGTACACTATATTATTAGTTTAAGTTCAATAGCTGTCTATTCATTGTCCTTAGATTGGGATTGTAGTAGCTGGGTACAGTCAACATAGGGACACATAGCTGTCTATCCATTGTCCTTAGATTGGGATTGTAGTAGCTGGGTACAGTCAACATAGGGACACATAGCTGTCTATCCATTGTCCTTAGATTGGGATTGTAGTAGCTGGGTACAGTCAACATAGGGACACAAAGCTGTCTATTCATTGTCCATAGATTGGGATTCTTTTAGCTGGGTACAGCCAACATAGGGACACATAGCTGTCTATTCATTGTCCTTAGATTGGGATTGTAGTAGCTGGGTACAGTCAACATAGGGACACAAAGCTGTCTATTCATTGTCCATAGATTGGGATTCTTGTAGCTGGGTACAGCCAACATAGGGACACAAAGCTGTCTAATCATTGTCCAAAAATATTGATTGTAGTAGCTGGGTACAGTCACCATAGGGACACATAGCTGTCTGCATGGTCCATAGAAAGTGGTTACAGTACCCAGGTTTCAATGTGCCAAAAAGCACTATATATATGTATTATTTTCTGGGGGGGGGGAGGGGGGGCAGCAATTTCAGATCACGCCAAAGGCGACACAATGTCTCACTAGACTACGCCCCTGCTTGCTGTCGATGAGACTGACGTATTCTTCACGTGAAAGGGAACTGAAACACTCCTGAATCAAGCCTCGAGTCTAAAATATTTTTTTTTTTTCATTTTTTTAATTTGGCTCCAACTCTTGCGATAAGACCAATCAACGATTTCAGATGGTCTCTTGAGCTAACACCAAACTGACAAAGTGCTCTTCAGCTGTGCTCCAGTCAAAGCAAAGATTATTTCACTTCATGGCAGTCAAACAACGTGTCTTAAACAAAGAAAGCAACATCTCCTTAACGCTGGGTCGGTTACTTTACTAGCACTGCTTCCCTCTCACAGAACATTTCTGAAGTCAGAGGCAAGACGCAAGCAGTCAGAGGCAAGACGCAAGCAGTCAGAGGCAAGACGCAAGCAGTTGACGTCAGGAAATTCTGGGCTGAAAAAGAAGTGATGTGACGTCCACCTAGCCCTAGATTTAAAAAAAATAATAATTTGGGAGTAGGGGGGGGGGGCAGACGACAAGGAAAGAACTTGTTACCAAGTTATTAACTGTTGTTAATGACGTGAACAAACTTTAACGACTCTTCAGTATCCGTATGAAGTCACACATGAAGTCAAGCCCATGTCATGAAAACTGGCATGACTGTTGTGGACTAATTTTATGATAAACTGATTGTAAAAAAATAAATATATATAGAATTTGCAATTTTTACACAGAGTGGGTGGATGATTAAGACACCAAGATAATTTCGTTCAGTTTGCCCCGCCTCCCCCCCCCCCCCCCCCCCCCC